TACCCAAATCTTTTCTGTGCCCTTCCCTATAGCTAAGTCTTTCTCCGACTGTAACAGCGTCTTAGTCTGTGCTGTAGCAATCTTTGCGTCCACGGAGTACCCATGTAGGAATAGACCCTTGAGTAGAGGGTTCATCCCGTCGAGTTGGATGTCCGCTACATGACCGGGGCGGCTCAATGCGTCTGCCTTGTTGTGTAGCCCGGGCTTGTAGACGAAGTCGTAGTGGAAGTGAGTTTCTAGGATGTCCACCCACCGCACCTGTCGTCGTGATAGTGTCAGGTGCGACTGGAGTGGTCAGTATAAACTGTAGTCTTGGCTCCCTCTAGGTAGCACCTCCACGCCTTGAAGGCTATGACTATCGCTAAGGCTTCCTTGTCATAGATGGGGTAGTTCAGTTCTGCTCCGTGTAGCTTCTTACTGAGAAAGCGATGGGCTGCAAACCGCGTCCGTGATTCTGCATCAGTGCTGCTTCGACTGCCTGATCTCTAGCGTCTGCTTCCACCACGTAGTCCTTGTCTGGATCCGGTACGATGAGTACTGGCGCTGTAGTCAGTGCTGTCTGTAGCTGCTCCATGGCTTGCTGATGAGGAGTATCCCACTTGTAGGGCGTATCCATTTTCAGTAGGTCGGTCAGTTGCGCTTCTTTCTTAGCGTATTGCGGCACAAACGTGTTGTAGTGGTTGGCGAAGCCTAGGAACTGCTGCAACTCCTTCACGTTCACCGGAACTTTCCACTTCCTGACAGCTTTGATCTTCTGTCGGTCCACGTGTATGCCCTCCACACTTACCATGTGCCCGAGAAACTGCACCTTTTTCAGGGCGAAGTCGCTCTTCGACAGCTTCACGTAGAACTTGTTTTTCTGCATGATCTCGAACACCTTCCGCAGATGCTCCACGTGCTCCTTCATGTTTTTGTTGTAGATGAGGATTTCGTCCAGGTACACTACTACGCACCCGTCCAGCAGGGGTCGTAAGATGTGATTCATCTCCACCTGAAGCGTTGCTGGTGCGTTGCAGAGTCTGAACAGCATCACAAAATATTTGTAGTGGCCATATCTTGTACAGAACGCCGTCTTGTGGACCGAGTTGTCTGCCATCTTGATCTGCCAGTAATTCGACCGTAGGTCAAGCTTCGAAAAGACTGTTGCACCACGGAGTTGGTCCAGTAGGTCCTCTATGCGCGGTATGGGGTATTTGTTTTTAACTGTCTGTTTGTTCAGTGCGCGGTAGTCGATGCACATCCGTACACTGCTGTCTAGTCTTGGAGTGAAGGAGACTGGTGCACCGTAGGGAGAGGTGGATGGGCGGATCAGTTGTCTTTCCAGAAGATACTCTATCTGCTTTTTCATGTCTGTCGGTTCGGTCAGACTCAGTCGGTATGGTGCATGTGAGACGGGTTTCGCACCTGGTTCCTGTATGATCTTATGCTCATGGGTGCGTGCTCGAGGTACTTCTGCAGGTAGGTCGTCTGGCATGATGTCTTTGTACTGCTCCAACACCTCTTTCACTACTGTAGGTGGCTCTGTGTTCGGCTTCTCCTCCTCCGCTGCTGCCATAACCAGTGCTAAGTAACCCGTGTTACTCTCGTGCGGCGTCTGTTCGAACCGTGCCAGTGTCGTTTCAGGAACACTCCCTGTATCCATCCAGCTTCGCAGCTCCACTCGTTTCCCATTGTTGTAGATGCATGCCTTCCTGTTGACCCAGTCGATCTCGGGGTTGAACCGCTTCAATAAATCCCGCCCCAAGATGAAATCTAAACCCTTGATGTTCGTGATCGGCAACGTCGGCTTCCACCTCAGCGCCCCTACGTGCAGCTACAGTGGTGCTTTGCCGTGGATGGGAAGTTTCGTACCGTCCACCATCGTCGCCGTGAACTTGGTCTCCTTCGAACGTTCTCCAATTTTCTCCAACGTCCCGCAAACGCATACCGAGTGGGATGCACCACTTTCCACCAGTGCCTGGAGGCGTCGCCCGTGGCAGATCACCTCGAGTAGTAGTGGTTATTGCTGCTCCGAGTAACCATAGATGGTCTCGCCTATAGGATCGTAGGGTACGTCGAATAGATAATTCCTCGGTCCTGCGCTCGAAGCTGCTGACTCCATATCAGTTTTCAACTGATTGGGTTAGAAGGATTTATCCGAGGCCGTTTCAGTTTCGTCTTGGCCTAGAACCTTCCCTTAAGCCTTTGCAGCTGTGTAGGCTTCACCTGTGGGCAATTGGGAGCCTTAACACCATGTTGCGGCGAGAGAATATTGAACTCCTTGGAACACACGACCCTTTTCAAAGCTCCGGAGCAATTTGCCCAACTTCTTTGGTACGTGAATGTTGTCTAAATGCCTTTTCTTGGCTTTGAAATCTCCCCTGAACTTTTTAAAGGCTTGAAAACCTTGAGGGAAAATATTCTTGTTTCAGGGAGCCTCCATTTGTCTCGGTGATTTCACCTGTTGCCTGCCGGTCGTGACATTTCAAATTCGCGCCATCGTGTCTTCCTTTTTTCGCCATCGTGGATGTCGCACTGTTGTTGCCCTGCAGCTCTGCTAGTACCTTCTTCAACTTCCAACACGCCAAGAGTCGATGTCCTGCTGCGCCGCAAAATTCGCACTTCTCATATTTTGTCGGCCGCTGCTTCGCGTCGATCTTCTCGATATCCATCGGGTCGGCGGTCGTGGGTGTTGCCGATCGCTCCGTGCCGAATGATCCGTTCGGCATGCGTCATCGTGTTTCGGGTTGATCTCGCATCAGCGCATCGAATCTCTCTGCTGCATACACCATGTCGCGGTATTTGTTGTCGTTTGCGGCAATCACCTGTTGGCGGACTTCCATTTTTAGCCCCTCAGTATACGCTTGGATTTTTTTCCCTTCCGTAAGGTCGGTAATTCGGTTGAAGATGCTCTCCATCTGCTGCGTGTACTGAATTGCGCTGCCGTACTGTTTATGCCGATGAATCTGCTGCCGCGCTATGTAACTGGAGTTGATTGGTTCGAAATGTTGAATTAAAGCCTCCCGAATTGCGTCCATGACTCCTCGTCTCGGACCTCGTTGCTATTTTAAATCCACTCGAGCGCCGGGCCTCGTAACAGTGTCGCAGCGAGCCGAATCCGCATTGCATTGTGTGTCGGGGTCGTATAGCCAACGGCCTCGAAGTAAATTTCGAGTATCGCAATGAATGGACGGACGTCGGTGTCTCTTGCATTCGGATTGAACGTCTCCGGTAGCCTCGGACGTGTCGCCTCAAGATTCACCGTAGCCGCTGCTGTTGTTGCTGGGTGAAGTGTCGGTGTCGCCGATGCTGCTGCTGACGTCGCTGCTGCATTCGCCTTTGCGTTCGCTGCTACCGTGGCGGTTGTTGACTGGTTCGCGAGAAGCTCCTCTATTTGCTGGAGTGCCTCTCGCGTCTGGTCCAGGCCGGTGTGTAAATCCGTAATTTTTCGTACGGAATTATCACCATTTTCATCCATTTGGCGATTTACAGGAAGATTTGCGATGAAAATAGTTGAATTCTAGGCGCTGGTCGTTTTACTGTGAGTCGAATCGACTGTAGAAATTATGAGCGCTGATTCTTTAGGTCGCGTAATTCCCCTTCAATCGAAATTCGCGTCCGATCTCGGCCGTTGAGAAGAAAGTTGATCCGACGTTCCAAATTCCAATCTTTTTGGTCGAAATTCTCAGGGCCGTTGAGATTCGAATCGATCTGATGGTCGAAATTCCAGCTTTTTGCACTGGACCTGAGGAGTGTTCGAAAACCAGTTCGAGGGGAACGTTGAAAAATAGCGCGGATTCGGTTTACGTACCCAAAATCAGCGCTTTCCGTCGTCGCCCCCGCGGTTTTAAACGCTAGTTTTAGGTGGTCAAAAACTTCGCGTGTAAACAGACTCTCATAACCAAGTGTAAGGATCTAGGATCGAGCCCAGAAAAGAGAGTTTGAATTGAATGATTCACCTGGGTACAATACGAGGCTATATATATTCTCGACACAAGGCCAGTTACCCAGGTGTTAGGCGAATGTTCTGAGGGTCGCGAAGCGTCACGAACAGAACCTTCCCGAGCTCGATAGAAAGCAATTCGGTGGAAACCGAATAGGCTTGAGTTCGGTACACGTAACGTGGTTCGGTTTTATAACTATAATAAAATATAGGAATGCACCTAACCTAGGAAATCAAGCATATCTATGCATGATAAAATAAACCCAAGCTAGATATAGCATAATAAAGTCCAGGCAAGCTAGAAAAGCCAGCATAAGCCGTCGTACTCTCACAGGCAGGCAGAGGTTGGATAATGCATGCAGGCAGGCAGTGTGCGAAGCTGAGGTGGGGTTGACATGGTGCGATAGTGCGGGGTGAAGGGCAAGGTTGCACTCACATTCTGGACATCTTGCCACTTCCCGTGCAGAAAACGCCAGCCCATTCGCCCGCAAAGGCCACGGTGCCTCCAGCGGTGCGGCACGGTGCAGCGGTGCTCCAAGTGGTAAAAGGTCACCCCCAGCGCGGTTTTAATGTTCTGCAGGGCGGCAGCTGCAGGGCGTGGCACGCGGGGACGGGTGCAAGACAGGGTAGTGGGGCACAACGAACTCGTGTGATAATGACAGGGCAGGTGAGGGAAACAAGTGGCAGGTATGGCTTGCAGGGGTGGAGGGAGGGAAGGGGGTAGTGAAGCAGGAAGCACCAAGGGGAGGATTATATAGTGAGTTTGGGTTGATGAAAAGGGAATTGGGATTGGGAAGCGCCACTGACCATCAGTAGAGTCCATGGAGATCGGCTGGTCAACACATATGAGCCCCACTTCGCCCCCATAGTTGGTCTGCTTCGCCGCAATCCTGGCCTCCGAGTCCGCTACACACCCCTTTCCCGCTCCGCACAGCGTGCCCGTGCCGTCAGCGCTGCCGCAGGTACCACATCAGTCCCGCATGTACGAGCTGCTACAGTTGCCATCGCTGGAGAGGTAGCTGTAAACTATGTCGCAGTAGGACCAGGTGCCCGCGGGCACGGAGCCCACCAAGTAGTTCTAGTAGAGGTCCAGCGACTTAATCTTGGTGATGGCCGCTGGCACCGACCCCGTCAGGTAGTTGGAACGCAGCGACCTGTGGGGTGGGACAGCAGGCTCGGTTACGTGGTGTTTATGGTAAGGGAGGAGTCAAGGTAGAGAGCAGCAACTAATTCATAATCTCGAACGATGAGGGGTGAAATATTACAGTGCAAGGAGTAGAAGTACAGCCATATTCACAGATAGGGTGAGCAGGTGGCTTTGTTGAGCACTCACATGCTGGTGAGCTTGGGCAGAGTCGTGAGCACGCTCGGCAGTGATCCGGAGAAGTACATATACTGCATGGCGCTGGCAGATGGGGGACACACACGCACGCACATCATGTTGGTGTTAGTATCACTGTGTAGCTTGGCCTGCTGCAACTGCAACCTACCCAATGTGGTTGTGAGCTGGTACCAACCAAACACACCCATAGCAGCGCCACGAGAGTCCGAAGAGACTCACAGGGTGTTCAAGTTGGTGAGCGCGGAGAAGTCTCTGAGGTAGCTGGCGAGGCTGCCGTTGAGGAAGTTCCACGGCATCCACCTGCACTCAGCAACCCGCAGCATATGCAGCACACACAGCAACACCGCACAACTACGCTCAGAAGTGCACACAAGCGGCACTGTAGCCCAACAAGACACCCAATGGTCATACTAGAGGACTGCACAAGGATTCCGCGTGCATGCGGGGCACCGCAGTAGCACGTGATCCTTGGGCCTCCGCTGCAGCAGAGAGCACTCACACAACGCCAAGACCCATGAGCTTGGAGATGTCTGTGGGGAAGCTCTTGTGCACGAGTCCCGCGCAGTCCAGGTTGCTGCACACATCTCACATCCATACACACTTACAGTGAGACAAGGAAACGGTGTGGGAGAGGAAACTTAGATAGACTGCAGCAAAACACCCTGCAGCACCCACACCGTGCCTTGCCACAAGCACTCACATCATGAAAACGCGACCGTCTTCGGTGCAGCTGATGCTGCTCCACTCGCCCGCTTTGGCGGTGGCGCCCTCAAGCTGGCACGGGTTGGAGGTGGCCCACGTGGTGAAGGTGACCCGCATGGCATCCTTAATGGCCAGCAGCGCCGCCGCTGATGGCCGCATGAGGGCAAAGAAGGGAGGGATAGAGAAGGGGAGGGAAAAGAGGCACGATGATAAGTGACGAGCATCATATAAGCGTGGAGGCAGAAAAGAACTTGATCACTCCCAGGCTAGGTAGGCATATCAATGTATGGAGGGGCTATGGAGCAGCATGGCATGTAGAAAGGAATCATTTTCCACCTGAAGCAGGGGTGCTCCGAATTAGAAATTAGTAGGCAGGCAGAGAGGGGGCTTTGACCGCCATTGGCGTTCGTGGTGATGAGCTGGTCAATGCACGCCACGGCAAGCTCAGTCCCCAAGTTGTTCTACTTTCCTGAGATCCTCGCATCCGCGCTTGGCATCCACGCTTGTCTCAATGCGCACAGGGTGCCCGTGCCATCAGCACTGCCACAAAAGTTGCAGGAGCCTCGCTGCCTTGGGTTCTGGCAGTTGCTGGCGCTTACGAGGCAGTTCCTGCCGGCCGCGCAGTAGGACCAGGTGCCCGAGGGCAGTGAGCCAACGAATTAGTTCTGCGTGAGGTCCAGCGACTTGATTTTGGTGATGCTCGTTAACAGCGACCTCGTTAGGTAGTTGTAGCGAATGCTTCAGTGGGGTGTGGGCCAGTGAGGGAGGGTTGCTTGGAGGCGAGGCGTGAGAGAATAGAACAGCAGCACTTGCGACTTATGGGGGAGAAGGAGGGGGGTGAGAGCGATGGAAATACGGGGGAAATAATAATAGCATGAGAGAGTAGAGGAGGTCTCATTGGTTGCACATATATACAACAAGTCAGAGCAGGTTGCCTCAGTGTGCACTTACATGCCGATGAGGCTGGGCAGAGTCGTGAGCAGACTCGGTAATGACCCAGACAAGTACATGTGCTGCATGGCACTGGTGGATGGGGGACGCACACACACGCACAATGGAAATAATAGAAATGTCAGAGGGGCTGCGTTATCACCACAATGTGGCCTGCGCTGCTGTGCTCAAGCTCGAGCTCCTCACGTGACATTGATGGCTTGCAAACACCATAAGAATGCGGCGAGACTCACATGGTGTTGAGGTTGGTGAGCGCGGAGAAGTTCCTGAGGTAGCTGGCGAGGCTGCCGTCGAGGAAGTTCCGCGGCATCCACCTGCACGCAGCACACGGAGCACGGCAAGTCACACGAATGCACTCAGCCCGCGGCATGCACACGGCAGCCATCAACTTGAGAGCAGCAGAGCAAGTACGGGATCACAACATGCATGCGAGGTTGCTTTGACTCCACGGTGAAGGGTTTGGGGTTTAGGGTTGCACTGCGGCAGCAAACAAACTTGCACTTCACTAGGGCAGTGCAAGCAGTACGCGATTCTCAGTGCAGCTCTTCAGCATAGAGCACTTAGACAACGCCAAGACCCGTGAGCTTCGTGATGTCCGATGGGAAGCTCTTGCGCACGAGTCCTGCAGAGTCGAGGTTGCTGCACACATGCACACACACATATGATGTAGTGAGGTAACGGTGAGGCATCTAGATGGACTGCTTTCGCTCCCTACCTTGCCTCGAGCACCCACATGCTGCCTCGCCAGCCGCAAGGATTTCTCATTTAGGAGCAAAAAAATGTGACTGAGACAGGATATGACATAGTATACAAGGATAACGCCCTGCTAGACCACAGAGCGAAAACAGAGTTTCTTCGGGCGCAGAGCATGCCCTGGGACCCTTGTGTGAGGTAGGCATTACAAGCATTCATGCCTGCATTTGCCGCCAGCACTAACATCATGAAGACGCAGCCGTCAGCGGCGCAGCTCAGGCCGCTCCACTCGCCAGCCGAGCCGGCATCGCCCTCGAGGTGGCACGGATTGGACGTGGCCCACGTGGTGAAGGTGAGCCCCATGGCCACCTTGATGGCCAGCAGCGCCGCGGCTGATGGCCGCGGGGACAGAGGAGAAAGGTGAAAGGGGGGAGGGGGAATATGCCATTGAAAGAGCAAGGCATCACTGGCAGTGGTACAGCCACGTCAAAGGTGGGAAGAAACGAGTAAGACGGTGCACCTTCTGTCAAATCCAGACCTTGCATTTTCCCCAACGTTGTGTGCGAGACGGTGGAAAGACTATGGAGGATGCGAATCACGATGAAGGTGCAATTGGATCAATCCATGTCTCGCTTGGACGTGATAGGCACTGACCCAAAGAAAAACTTCCGCAAATTTCCTGTTATCGCGGTAACCCCAATTGAAACCCCAGTGTGACCGACTAGGTGAGTGTTACTACTACCCCAGTCTCACCCTTGTACATTCGTTTTCTGGCAGTGGCCAACTAGTAATACTACTAGTAGCCTTTCACCTTGATCAGCCTGCATGGTGATGCTAGCAGCAGCAGTAGGGAGGAGGTGGCTGGACAGCACAGCGAGCACCATCATCGTCGCCACGAGGCACACGTGATGCTTCCGGCTCGAGGTCGCCATGGCGACCATCATGCGCGCCGCTTTTCACTGCTGGTCGTGATTAGTGCTATAGCAAACCACTGGAGCACTGGAGGGAGTTGACTAGTAATGTAGAGGTAGAGGAACCGCTCGATGATGTGCCTACGAACATCGCAGCGATAAGAAAATGAAACCTCATGCCAGTGAAACGGATGGAAGCTTTTGCTGCCCGCAACTGTCAACAAAGTCGTAGGCCTTGCGAAAATCCACTGTAAGAGCGGGAAGGGGGGACGAGGAGAAGGCCGCCCAGTCCATGATGTCCAGATTATCGTTAATGGTGTCTCCGATTTTCCTGTGTTTGATGAAGGCAGTTTGGGATGGGTGGATGAGCTGGGGGAGGATGAGTTGAAGGCGGTTAGCGAGGCATAGCGCAAGTACCTTGTAATCAGCGTTCATTAGGGTGATGGGGCAGAGGTTTTCCTCTAGCGAGGAGTCCCCTCTTTTTGGGATAAGGACCGTTCTTCCGGTCAGCATGGACGGAGGGAGACTGGAAAGTGGCTGTGGTGGTGAGAGCAGGGAGTGGAAGGCCGGTGCGAATCGAGGGGAGAATTGTCGGAAAAGCTCCCCGAGGAGGCTGTCTGGGCTAGGGGTTTTCCCCGTGTGAGAGAGAGGAGTGCTTTCCCGATTTCGGCTAGGGAGAGGGGAACGCTGAGACGGGAGAGTAAGGGGTTCCGGATGGATGAGGGAGGGATATGTTGCCAGAAGGATGGGTTAGGGGTGGCGGGGTTGCATCCACTATAGAGGGTCCGGAAGAAGCTATAACACATATTAGTCATGGTGGGTAGGTCTGAGGTTGTCTGTCCAATGGGTAAGGTGAGGGAATTGATGATCGAGCCTTTGATTCACGAGTTGAGTCCGGAGAGGAGGGAGGAGACTCCCATTTCTCTGTGCCCTTCCATTTTCAGCTTGGCCTTGAGAGGAATCTCGGAGGCTTTCGAGGCTTCGTATCTGGCCAAGTGGAGTCGTGCTTGGCTTAGGCGGGAGGATTCGTTTTGTTCTAGAGGCGTATACGTTGCTTGCGACTGTAGAGAGCCAATGGTGTGCTCCAGATGTGCAATTGTGCCATCGACACGGCATCTCTCCAGGTTGGAGAATCTTTTGATGTTAAGGGTGAGGTCGAGCTTCCACCCGTCCCACGAGTCCGGGGAAGGGGAGGAGGGGAAGGCCGCAAGGGAGGCATACATGATTTGTGCAGCACGGAGGCGCATGAGGAGATGTTGGCGGAGCCGCCACGGCCGAGGGGCGACCGTGGGGTTGGTGAAACCTAGCGAGAAGAGAGGGGCATATATGTGATCTGTGATTGTTGTGCGGGTTTGCATGTACGGACTAGCGGCGAGACGGGGAAGGAAGACTCGGGAAATGTAAATTCTGTCAAGGCGGGAGAGTGTGGGCGGGGTCAGTGAGTTTAAGCGTTGCCTGCCATAAAATGAGAAGATGTCGGTGGCTGAGGGGAAGAGTTCGTTGAAAGTGTCGACCAGCGCGTGGGTGTCCATGAGCTTCGCAAAGGAAGCTCCTTCTCGGCATTCGTAATCTTTGAGGGGTCGGTTTCTATCAATGGGAAGGATGACAGAGTTGAAGTCGCCGGCGAGCATGGTCGCGGAGGCACCAGTGGGGTTTTCTAGTGCCGGAAGGAGCGTGGTGGTCCACCATATTCGACGCTCGTAGAATTGTGTGGGCGCGTATATGGCAATGAGGCGGATTTGCTCACGGAGGTAGTTGAGATGTACCGTGAGCAGCCTGCTGTCTGCAAAGGGGATCAGGGAGGATAGTGAGATGGCCTTGTTGAAAGAGAGGATGGAGATGCCTCCGATGAGAGCGGGCCTCCCGGTAGCGTTGTCAGTCGAGAGCAGCGCCGGGGCGTGGGCAGAGGCGTGAGGTCGGAATTTCAAGTCAAGGTTGGGGATTCTGAGGATGAGTTGAGTGTCAATGAGAATGACCAAATCGGTGGAGGCAGGGAGGCGCGAGAGTCAGGATTTAAGCTCATCCATTTTGCGAGTCTCGTTGATTCCGTTCACGTTGATGCATAGGATTCAGAGGTGTGTTAACATGACAACGACGTAAAGGCCACCGCACGGGAGGACGTGCGTGTCCACTGCCTGGGGAGGAAGTAGCAGCGCAGATTGATTGGGACCGAAGGGAGGCTGGAAGGATGCGCATTCTAGTGGGGCTTTTGGCCTAGGGGCGTGTCGGGAGAGCCGGACGGCGAGATGCTATTACGAGCTGTCATGGGGACAGGGAGAAGCCGAGGCCGGGCAGGATTGGGAAGTGGGGTGTGAGACCGATTCATGAGAGTTGGTTTAGCACGAAGAGCTCTCGAGCCATACCACGAGACTAACAGGTGGCAAAAGGGGGCTGTGGAGATTAGCCAGGTGGGCTGTCGGAAAGGCTTGGTTATTTGAGGATGGCACAGATGATTGGGAGGAGTGGACTCCATTTCCGCTTTGTAGCACATATGCGAGACGACGTAGTGTTGTTGTTCCCGAAGGCAAACATGAAGGGATGTGATGACTCGCTAATGCGGAGGCGGAGTTTCCAGTTACGAGTTAGACGGGAAGGGGAAGAGCTTGTCAGTTGAGGTTCAAGATGTGATGAGAAAGGACCAGCTGAGTATTGCCGGCTGAAGGGGCTGGAGGCGCGGAAATGCGTGGCTGGCAGGCGTAGGGCATTAGTGTCTACTGGGGGGGCACGCAAGGAGGGGTAGTTCGTCAGCGGCTGATATCGTGCTAGGAATAGGATATAGCGAGGAGAGCTGCCGGGGGCGTAGAGTAGGAGGAGGGGATTGGAGCACCACCAGGCATGGTGTGGTAAGGTAACTAGACCCCCTGCAGGTTCGAGGGGGGGCCGGGGCATGTGAGACGTGCTAAATCTGGTGCAGAGGATGGTGGGCAGACTAAAGCTAGAGGTGGGGGAATATGTAAGTTGGTGTGTTACTAGGGGCATTGATTTGTGCGTTGACTGTATTGCTGATTGTTTGGGTTCAGAGAGGGTGGCACAGGTTGGCCTTGGTATGTGCAGGGTTATAATAAGGATGGGTACAGTTTCGCATGAGCGATCCAGAAAGTCATACTCTAAGACGAAGCCCAATAAGGGGTACAGCGAAGATGGTGCAAAACAAATTCCACTACCACGACGTTCAAGCAAGGTTGCTAGATTCAGCCAAGAAGGAAGGCAGCCACTGAGGGCTTCTGCTGCAGCGTGAGAGCACGCTAGGGGCCGAAAGCCTCCTTGGCTGCCGGGCGGTGGGCCGTAGCCTTCACGCGGGAGGTGTGCATATCGGACTGAATGTGAAACATGGCGCTGTCCAGGGCAGCGCCGGAAGTGAAATCGCAGAGCACACAGGTCCATGTTTCGACCTTGTCGTCCACAGAGGCCGGGGTAGTTGCGAAAGGTGGTCGACGCGGCGTGGTTCCCCAGGATGTTGCCTGCGTGGGGGAGAGTACTCAGGAGGGGGGGGGGCAGCCAGGAAGCGGGCAAGGTAGGAAAAAGACCCAGCCACAGAGGGGGCGGACGAAGCTGAGGACCGTGGGGGAAGGAGATAGTGAGAGAGCATACGAGGGGGGGGTGACGAGGCCGAGGAGGGGTCACGGGGGGGGGGGGGTGCTGGTGTGGGGAGGCGGGAGTGGGGATAGAGAAGAAGGGTGGGGAGGATATGATGGGGACAGGTGGGGCAAGATGCGAGCGTAAGGTGGGGGAAGAGGCCCAAAGGTTGGGGCTGCACAGGTAGACAGTGGGAAGAGGCTGGGGCAGGGGGGGATTGAGGGGCTGGGGTAGGCACGTGTCTGTGCAGAGGGCTGGCTGTTGAGGGGGCAGGGGGGGGAGAGACGATGGACTGGGGGGGGTTATGAGTGGATTCGAGGGGGGAGTGATCTGGTGGAGCACATGGACTGTGGGGCGATGGAAAGGCAGGGGGAAAGTGCAGGAGGGTGATGGGAATAAGAGTTTGAGGAGGCCCGGCCACTAGGAGAGGAGAGGGAGATGGGGCAGGGGGGGGGGAGGAGTAGGGTGGGTGGGGGCTGAAGCAATGGGAAAGTGGGGGAGCAGTATAACAAGGGGGGGGAGGTGGCAAGATGGAGGGTAGAAAGGAGGGCACAGGGGGACCGGGGCGGCGGGGCAGGGGAGAAATAGGATAGCGTATTCGGGGAAATTTTGCGGGGAGCATACCGTTTGCCTTCTGCAGCTGTGCGACTAATATCACGTTGCGGTTCGTGAGGCGCTGCCGGCGGCGGGCAGCGAAAGCCTCTTGGTCAGATGCGCGGTGGTTGTTGGCGCACAAAGCGCACACGTGGCAGGAGAAGTTGAGCACCATGGGAGGCTTGTTCTCCTCCAGCGGGATTTTGGATGTGATGCGCTCGAAATTGGGGTCGTCGGGGGTAGCGATTGGAAGCCCTGCGAGGTGTGTGAAGTACGTGTCATCGTAGGGGTCCGAGGCACGGTGGAAGTCCGTCAAATCTGCCAGCTAGTGCGAGCCATCAGATTTGGTGGAGCCGAGAAGGTAGGCGCGGATGTCCTCTGGGTCAAAGTCCAGAGGGATATTGCGGATAGATAGGGTCGGTGCGCCGGCGGCCTTGGCAGCCGTGAAGGCTGCAAACCTATCCTCAAAAACCTTAAGCAGCAGGGGGCGGGAATTGGAGACTTTGAGGGTGAGGGGAAAAAGCTTGCGGAAGGCCGCAGCATCTTCCTGCGAAGGCCAAAAGAAGAGCAGGCGGCCATACACGCGGCGGGCCACGCGGTAGGGGTCCCCAACGGTCTGCTCGACGGAGGGGATAATGCCAGAAGCAAACATAAAGCCACACAGCTGCGCATTGATACCAGCGAGAATTTCAGATTGGTGCGACTCCAGCCCGGCTTTCGGGAGGAGGACGGTGACTACCACGCGGCGGCGCAGAGGGAAAAGCAGCAAGGGGGCGGCGTCCGTGCGCGCGCGCCGCAGATTGCGGGGGGGAGCACCCGGATTGGGCGAGGCGAAGAGCGAGATGGGCAGCGCCGGAGCCAAG